TTAGTCATTGTACTTGCCCAAGTTGCAACGGTGAAAACTTCGATGTATGTGCTGAAGACTTTCAGGCGCTAAGGCATTCCATATACCGAGAACAAAGAACAAAATCTTATGAAAACAAATTATGATAACCTTAAACATCTAACCTTCCTTAAAAGCAGAAAGAGAATACACAAACTATTAGCATCATATAAGCTATAAGAAGAAAACTACAAGTGATAGGTACTTCTTTCTCCACTAAGATATTAAACATGGTGAATAAAATATAAAAGAATCAAACATACAAGGTACTACATAACTTTCAAACTGAATTTTGTCACAACAGTTATCCAAAAAAGATCAATGGGTATGATGGGATTAGGGTTTAGGGCAAATATACCTCATTGCATGCCAAAAGTCTCTTCTAGAGGGTCATAAATGTGCCTCTCAGGAAAGAGTTCTATAAAGTCTTGTTTTACCCTATTTCTGAAGAGAGGGTGGGGTACAAGTCCCTTCAATAGTACCCTGAAGGGTAACTCTTCCGGGGGATCAGGACATTTTTTCATGTCCTCGTAAATATTCATTGCATCAGCTGGTGAACCAAATCTGAGAAATCCCCTGATAACCTCTGCATAAGTTTGATAATCAGGAAATAACTCCTTTTCCTTCATGCTATCCCACACTTGCATAGCTTCTTCCATATTTTGACCCTTTGCTAAAGAAATAATCAAATCCTTGTACAGAAACACATCTGGTTTAAACCAGTCTTCCTTTTCAATTAACCTGAACATCTGAAAGTTATCACACATTTAAGATTTTCAGCCTTCACCAGAAATACAATAAAATTGAAGTCACACCACAAAATAAAGCTACCTTGCAATTTTATAGCTAACAATAGACCAAATGAGCAACTTAGCGGTAGTGTTTTATGCTCTTTAGCCTTGATCTAATTCAAAAAAGTTTAAAAAAAAAAAGAAGAAGAAAACTCTCAAACATCGAAGTCCCTAATAGGAAATATTTGAGTTCGCAAGCAATTCTATCGGATTTGCTTGAGTATTCAAGCAACCCTAACGAATATTGGTGAAATCAACGAAAGAAACCACGAGTTTGGACACAAAATCACCACAAAAACAATAGAATTTATTAAGGAAATCGAAGTAAAGCAAAGGAAAGCAAAGATAAAATTGATCCTCAATTCGAGAGGAGGATCATTCTCTCCCAATCTCTAGATGATGAATCTAGATCCCAAAACCCTAAGAAACTCCAAGAGAATAACTCAAATTATACATACCCTACCCTTCCCTCTCATCCCTATTTATAACCTTAACCGCCCTCCCACCCCTTACTAAAAATAGTTTATTTTAAATAAAAAATCTTGGAAGCTGTGGGTCCCATTGCTTTAGGCGGCTAGGGGAGAGGCGGCATGGGCCCGCCTCATGTAGACTTGGACCGGCCCATGCTGGGCCGGTTGAGTCAGTTCCTGCTGAACCGACTTAACAGTTTCCACTCTAGATTGCAATCGAAGAAACAGAAATAAATTCTTCTTTGGCGGTCAAATTCAAGGCATGCTTTGAGGATTAAGATAGGTATCCATTCTAGAAAAGACAATGATCAACTCACATTTTGCCGTCTTCCCTTCAGTTAAATTGTACAGTTGAAATGTTTCCTTATGTTTACAAAGCATTGCATAGAAATTCTGATGTAGTAGCAATGACAATTTTCTTTTCCATTTGATGGTTATTAGAGTAATTTGGGAGAACGGGTATGCAAACCATGGAGAAAAGGGGAGAGAACTACATACCCTAAAAGAGAGAGAGAGAGAGAGAGAGAGAGGAGATGAGGCACAAAATCCAAAGTAGTACCACAAGAAGCTTGATTTTATAATCTTGTAATTCTTCAATATCATCCGCGTCGTTTTTTTTATATCATCCGCTTCCATGAATACTTGCATTTATTCCATTTATTAAGGGGGAATTTACAGGCCATATGAAAATAAGTAACCACTAATCAAGGAGTTTCTCCATATAAGAAAAGCCTTTAAATAGGAGCCCTTTGAACTAAGTCTATGATTACACTTATGTAAAAATAAAATATTGATCAAGAAATTAGTAGAGTTTTATGACAGTTGGATAATGGTGCTGATAGGCCTTCTATAAGCAATGTGCAGCAGCATCTGTATTGGATCAACTAACGCATGTCAAAATAAGCTCATCTCCCGAAAGTTGAAAAGTGGCACTCATGACGGTGGTAAATGTGAAACTAGCTCATGAGCATCTTGAAAGATAACAATAGAGGAAATTGCAAAACTGTGACATACATTTGAGGGCTCCTACTTTGATCCTCTATAACACCCACCATATCAAACCCTAGGTATTAATCAGTGATTGTGAGTTTGGAAATGCTCAGTTAACCCAAAAATAAGTCAAGAGTTAGAATGGAGAGAAGAATATGCAAAATGGCAAAAGTTCTGGGAGCGCAGCGGCATCTAGCTCTTTGATTGGAGAAGAGCTGAGGGAGGAGTTGCAGTGCTAGGAAAGGCACTGCCGCGGCGCCAAGCTCTTTGTTGGGATATTTTCGAAAAAATTTAGAATATTCAGGTCAGCATAGTGGTGCTGGGGAGGTGAGTGCCGCAACGCCATACCAAAATGAGTATTTTTTTAATAATGAATATATATCCATTTTCATTGCACCACCTCACCTCAGCCCTTGCCTGAGAAAAGAGAAGGAAAAGGAGAGGAAAGATACATAAAAAGATGGGTTTCAAAAGGCCAAAGCTCATCTTCCATCTATCGGACTATTTAGGAATTTCATAAAACACAACGTAAGACTTATGAATTCCTATCTCAATTTCAATTCTAATAATTCTATAAAACGATATGGGTTAAAATATATTTTTCACGAGTTTTACACATTTTACCGTATAACTTTTAATGTGTTGTTGTATCTTTATTCTGAACATTTTAATTATAAGAAGTTGAATTTTTACAGGTTGGTTTTTTTTGTAATAATTTTCATGCACATCGGGCAAATGAGACTTTTCTGATTTACAAAATAGTTCAATAAAAAAGCTTGAAACAATACTCTTTATATGAATGAAAAATGTTTAGTGGGTAGGCTTTTATACATGCAATATGTATTACTACTATAGACAATTCTGATACTTCATGCATCATTATAAACTCACGTTAAGGTCAAAATAAATTATTGTTGCATTCAATTCACATAATTTCATGGCATGGCATTCTCTAAATTATGATATGTAAAAAGTGCACTATCTAAAATGATACAAGAGCCCTATATGTTCTGTTTTGACCTCATATTCTTTGTGTGGATGTTAGAGGGGTTTTGAACCCACTTGCTAAAAACGGGTGTGGGAGATTATTATGTTCTGTTTTGTTCTTTTTTCGCCCCACTTGTTATATACAGATGTGGAAGGTTAAAGGAATTATAAGTGCAAATGGAGTTATAAGCAGGTATTTAGACATGTGCATTATATTCATACATTTGCATAGTTTGATGACTTAATAAGTACAAATGATATTTTGATCTAGTTCTGACAATTTTTTAATTTCTATATGAATTCTAATCAAAATGAGAATGTTAAGTGCAAGTCAAGTTCTGGTGACGAGTACTCCATGACATCTCTGGTAATTCTATAAAAGTGAATATTGAAAGTATAAATAGTAATTCTAAAACTAAGTACACATTGATAAGCCTATGAAACTGTCATGTTAGTACTTTGTTTGTTCTTTATTAATTATCAAGTATTAATTAAACTATTTTATAATATTTTGACTGGATATTGATATCTGTGATGGGTTGGTGCTATAAGTTTATTGAGCTGGTTGTGCTCACTACGTAAAACTTTCTAACATTTCAAGAAAAGAAAACAACCCGGTAGAATATGAAAGGAGGTAGACTGGTAGAGTGAAGATTCTTTGAATAGGGAGTATTAAGGTACTCTTTTGTAATCCAGTGCCAATTATTTTGATGTATAGATTGCCTATGAACTAGATTATTGTACATGTATTTTGGTGGGTGAAATCAATAGATGTCTCTATTACTCCTTTTATTATTCCGGATTTCATAGTGGCTCTAGTTTATTATGTTGATGGATGAGTAGAATTCAGGATTAGACATTCAATTCTTCTCTTAGATCCTAGAGAGTCACATCCTCACCATTCATCATAAAGCTGTAGCTTATCAGTGTCTAGGCAAAGAACAAATCTTTGTATGGAAATAGTGGTAATGGCAACATAAATTTAACATATAGGAATGGTGATTGAACCAGTAGTAGCATGGTTAAATAAAGAATATATTGTATTTCCATCTCAAAATATAGATTAACATAATCAAGGGGTGAGGATTCCTTAGACTCAACATTAAACTATGATGCAATCTCATGCTCAGGCTCATACTCTTGCACTGACTCTATTTTTTTTCTTGTTTTTCATATGTAGGATTCTCTTATGATCAATTCCTTCTAGAGTAGCAATCTTTTTTTTTTCCTACAGACATTTTGATTTTGAGTGGGAGAAAGATGATTGATTTCTAAATCATCAATGGCTTCTTGGGAATCTTGGTAGGAGAAGAGACGCAAATGTCGGGATAAGATTCTCATTGAAATTCCTTACGTAAGAATTCCCCTTAAATATCATATTTGGAAAAAAAAAACAGGTGTTGAAGCTCACATGCATGGAATTGTATAAACATTAGTGGTAGGTGAGTAGTATTTACAGCCTTCTTGGTTGGAAGATTATCCAAAAATGAAGCACTTGATAGCTTTGGGATCCATTTTGGTCCTACTGTGTGAACAGATATGGACATAAGATGAGCATTCGAACACTTCCATAGAAAGAGTAGATATTATTTTGGTGTTAATTTAGGCTTCCAAGGGGCTACAAACATGGGTTTTGAACTTAAGGTTATGAGAGGATATTCTATTTATGAGGTATGTCACAGTTAGCATAGCTTCCCCTAAACATATTTAATGATACGAGTAGTGAACATAAGGGGCCAAGACACTTCCATGAGATGACAATTTTTTCTTTCAGCCAATTAATTTTGTTGAGGGATCTCAACACAAAAGCTTTGATAAATAATTCCTTCGTTGGATAAATAATTACTTGAGATTGAAGCAAAATATTCTTGAGCATTATCAATCTTCAATGTTTGGATTTTTTTATTAGATTTAGATTATAGTATTCTTTTTGCTGGTTTATGTTTTTTACTAATGATATTCTTCTTGTTGATAAGACTATAGAGGGAGTTGTCAGTAAACTTGAATTATGGAGGCCAACTTTAGAGTCTAAAGGTATTCGTTTTAAGATCTAAAACCGAATACATGAGAGTGTAATGTTAGTGGTAAATAGTAATAGATCTAGTGGGAAGATTGTGAATTTGGCAATCAAGTCATTAATAAGAGACCATGCTTTAAATATCTTGAGTATATTATTCAAACTGATGGTAAAATAAATGTGGATATTATTAGTAGAATTCAAGTTGGATGGATGAAACAAGGGAATGCATTAGGCTTGTTGTGTGATAGAAAAGTACCCCTAAAACATAAGAAAAATTTCTATAAGGTGGCGGTGAGACCTGCAATCCTTTATGGTGCAGAATGTTGGTCATTAAAAGAGAAGCATGAAATTAAGTTAAGTGTTCCAGAGATGAGGATGCTCAGGTGGATGAGTAGCTTCACTCTTATATACAAAATGTCAAATGAGTATATACGTGAAAAGGATCGAGTAGATCCAATGACATATAAGATTAGAGAGAGCCATCTTAGATG